CGAGTACATATTTCGTATCATGTAATGACATTTGATACGATTTTGCAAGACGCAATATTCTGCATTATTTAATTTGTGAGTAATGATTTTGTAAATAATTTATTTGAGAATTTATATATATATACAATACAAATATAAGAAGGGCAAAGAGCCAAGTAAATTTATCAACAAAATATTTCAATTATTTAAAATTTAAAAAACGTTTTAATAAGATCTTTAAAAATTACAAATTAACAGATGTTTCGACTCCGATCGGGTCATTTTCAATGTTACAAATTATTAGAATTAAAATGAATAGTGAACGCATTCTTCTTCTGATATAAAGTCTTCGGTATAGCAATAGTCATATGTTGAAATAATAAGTATAAATTGATCCTAATGAAAATTATATACGAATTAATAAAATCACAAACAATAGAAAATAATAAATAAATACAAAAGTTCTATTACCTTGTCAAAAATACAAATAAAGCAACAAGTCCATGATTAAAATTATTTAGTCAATTAATATAAAATATAATTAAAACTGTGTAAGATATTTTACGATTACCAGAAGAAGAATGCGTTCACTATTCATTTTAATTTTAATAATTTGTAACATTGAAAATGACCCGATCGGAGTCGAAACATCTGTTAATTTGTAATTTTTAAAGATCTTATTAAAACGTTTTTTAAATTTTAAATATTTGAAGTATTTTGTTGATAAATTTACTTGACTCTTTTGTCCTTCTTATATTTGTATTGTTTTATACATATAGAGCCTTTTCATTATTTATTTTATATATATACATACATTTCAGTTTTTGATCTTTATTCTTCTACTAGAAGATAGAATTCTCTGTTATATTTTTTTATATTTACTGCAAAAATCTGCATATAATATTGTATAAGTATAAAAAAAGTAACGAAAAAAATAACAACTCGTTATATTTTTTAGTAGTGGAACGGTAACGAGTTACTTTTGCAAATCAGTAACGAGTAACGGTAACGAATTACTTTTCATATTTTACTATTTGTACCTACATAACAAATGTAGAAGTATTGGTACTTTTTACTCCATTATGTGGACCTTCTTGCCTCGCATATGGGGTAAGAAGTGCCGAGTGACTTACTGTGCAAAATTTACGATATCTTTTGTAATGAAGGGTATATATGTATACATACTATCTTGCATGTATTTTGTAGCCAAAGGTCTCTAGTTTCGAAAAATACCAACGCGATCTGTGTAAGTTAAATATTCTTTATTTTATAGTAAAAATGGCAAAAGTGGCCCTTTATTCTCCGGTTTACCCCTCTAAAGAAGAAATGCGGAAATTTTCAACTATCTAACGTAAAAGCTTAAAGTTTTTCCTAAAAATTTATTTTTAAAAAATGTTGCTTAAGATTTTTTATTTCTGAGTTATTCACAAGTTAAGTAAAGGAACATTTTGATTGTAATTGCTCATAACTTCGTTAAAAATCATCGTATCGTAATTTAAAAAATCATGGTGTAATTGCTAAATTTTTAATGTACAATATACAATTTTGAGTTAATAAAATGCGGCAAAACTTTTTCTCCAACCCAATATTATATGATAAAAATAGAATGAAACTGATAGCACATACTTAAGCATCTAAATCGAATATTGTCCTACTGCTAATAGAATATAATGTTTAAAAACGTTGGAAAGTAGTATTGAAATTGAAATACGTCATTTAAATAATATTTCATTTTGTTTCAGATACAAGGATGCCTTTTAAAGTGTTGTAATAATCGGATTATAATCGGTACACTACGGTGTAATTAATCGGTTTCACGAGTGTGAGTGCAATGAACAAATTTGATAGGAGGAGGAAGTCTGGGAGGCATCGGGCGCTGATGGAGCAACTATGAAGTATAGTATATAGTTTATTTTTATAAATTATTTATTTTTCAAGAATTATTTAATTATTACCAAATCTTTATTTGAAAAAATTGACTAATATTAATTTAATACATGAAACAATTGTTATTTAAAGTTAACTATTTTGATCGTTATTATATAATCTGACTAAATATAATATATATTTGTATTGTATGTTACATATCAACGTAATTACGACACTCCGTTGCTACCCGTTGATATTGATGAGTTTTAAATTCTTTTCTGTTTTAATATGATACAATGGATCTGTGAAACTTATATTATTATATACAAGATACGAGTAATTAAAAATTCAGATCGAAAGCACACAAAACTATTATCACAGATAAAGATAATACTTTGCAGATTTATTGGCTTAAAGTAGATAGATTATAATGTTAGCATGCATGCATAACTATCGAAATATGTATAGGATCTTTTTGTCGATTTATTGCGTTAACGTATATACAGAGATAATAAAATAAAGCTCACAATGTGCATCGTTTATTTGCAACATTAAATTTTTTTTATTAGAATAATAATATCACATAATTATGAGATATATTATAGCACAGATATAAATATATGAAATAAATTAAAGAAGGGTAATAAAAATATTTCAGAGTTAATTATTTATGTTAATTTTATTGAAAAGAAGCGCTAACGAATATTAATTATATTTTTTATTTAACATGTTAAATTGATTCATTTTTCTAATTTATGTATATTTAACGATAATTTGATTTTATTTTATTTAAAATAAATTTCTTAGAAAGATTCTCAATAAACATTTCACAGACGAATATTTTAAAATCAAATTTTTTACGATATTATTTAAATTATTAATATTTTTGTTCATATACAAAGCGTGAACTGTAATGAAATTGCTAGATGTCGCTGTTTTACAACACATCGACATATCTTTACATACTACCACATTAATATCTCACGCAGACAGTGATGCACGCATTACCTGTTAATTTTCGTATCGTAAATTCGTCGCGATAAAGTGTCTAACAATAAGTTTCTAAGCACTTGATGCTGTTTCTTCATGCGAAATGCCTGTGGACTACTATTTCTTAAGTACAGATCGTGTAGCTTTTATATGAAACAAATGTTGTTATGACGTGCAACGATGTGATAGCTCTGGAGCGCCATATTGGACTAAAAAATGGTAAAGAACTCAATTTTGAAAGTTTTTATCATTTTCAGCATAGATTTTACCTTATAGGCAAATATTATACTTTAATCTTGTAAAAGGATTTTCGAATCTGTGAATGATAAAAAAAAGTATTTACGATACAAAAATTATATAGTTTAGTCGGTAATACAAACGACTTTAGGATCCCTTTAATAATCTTAAAAAAAAAGAGAGAAAGAGATATAATAAAAGGACAATGATTTTTATCTTTACTTTTCTTCACACCAATTGATTCACCTCATTATACTGTTTAGAAAAGCATTAAGGTACGATTATCAAAAAGTCAATAGTTCACGAATTATTAAACATTTTTTGTCAATATGCACCAAAAGAATGTGTAAAATAACTCGTAAATTATTGGTTTTTTTTATATCTCTACCTTAATACTTTTATGTACAGAATAATTAAGGAAATCATATAGTGAAAAAAATTCATATAATTTCATTTAAAAAAATGAAGTTGACCTCGAAATCTCCGAAGCGCCTCCACCTAAAAAAATTATGACTAGCATATGTTATAGTTCTCTTGATGCCCTACAACTTTTGTAATAACAATATTTTCATATCTCTAAAAATAGCGGAGATATTCAAAGTGGACAAAGTTATTGTCCCACCAGGTATATATAAATTTATTATAATATTAACACTGATATACGGAACGTTTCGACTTCACAGAGTCCTCATCAGCCGTAAATAACCCCATGTAAATTAAACAAACCAATCAACTTCAAATTAATATACGCATTTTTAACGTACAATATCGCTCAGATGAACAAATTAATTTTGACGATTGAAATTACATGTCTTAACTATACGGATGGTAACACACAAATGGTAACACACAAATCATTTGTGTGTTATCATCCGTATAGTTAAGACATGTAATTTCAATCGTCAAAATTAATTTGTTCATCTGAGCGATATTGTATGTTAAAAATGCGTATATTAATTCAAAGTTGATTGGTTTATTTAATTTACATGGGGTTATTTACGGCTGATGAGGACTCTGTGAAATCGAAACGTTCCAGTGTTAATATATTATAATAAATTTATATATATATATCTAACAACCTGTATAGCTCAATTTGTCTTGACCTGGGAGGTTTATTATTTTTTAATACATGTAAATATATTAAGCAATGATTATTTACATGTAAATAATCATTGCTTAGCAATACGTAGCAACTAATAGCTGATGGATAATTTTAGAAATATAGAGATATAGTTTCTTGTAACCATTTCGTCAGCTGGCCCGGAGCATCGATGCGTGCTTAATTAATTTCCGTGCAGTGTAGTTTATGTACTATCGCAATATACAAGTACGAAACGATGAAATTATGTCATTGAATAGGAAATACACTAATTTACAAAACGCATCACATATAATAATAATCCGCTTCGTAGTGTCCCGTTATGATTAATGATGTGGTAATGATAAAATCACAAGTATATAATTACTGATGAAAAGAATGAAGAATTAAAATGGTTATTTTTAAATTACTTAATGCATCTTTTGTACGACAAAAATGATATATTAACGACATTAGTCGGATGGAGATAATTTTGTTAATTCAATACGTCATTCTCTTGTTTTAATAAAACACACACAAGTTTATTGAATTGATAAGATTATTTGCAATTAGAAATCTAATACTATATTAATATACCTCTTTTCAGTCACACACACATAAGTAGTTAATTATATATCAAATATAAAAAAATGTATATATATGTATTTATTATCATACATTTAAAAAAACGAATACATATAGAAAGATATTTCTTAAATTTATTTAAACCAATTATATACATAAATGTGCACGGAATGAAATTTATTATCTGTCATTTAAGTAATTATCTAATTTTCGTGGTAAAGAATGTGTAACGTGGTAATAGCGTAAGCTGATTATTACTCACTGAAAAGTCGACCTCTTTCGGGAGATTTAGATAAAATCTTGCGACGTGAAATTTCAAGGGAAAAGGTGATTGCTCCTCGATGTTCATTATAATTTTTCCGTCGGTGATATTGAGTTCCCTGCAAAGGGTGATCGAGCCCAGCCAGAAACCGTTGCCAAAGTGAAATTGCGAGGAGTAGCGGCCACTCGCGTCTGACACTGAAAAGGAAAGCCAAACGAAACAGTGAAAAATAATTGTCAATCATCGGGGCGGAACGAGCGAAATAAATGTGCCACTTTCGTGTGACATTTATCGTGCGTCCCTTATATAAAGGACGTGAGAAAGAAGAGACTTTTAAGATCGTAGAAGATTGTAAAGCAGCTAAGCATGACGACATGCGACAAATTGGCGGAAATATTTGCACGGACAATATGCGCGGCGTTTTCTTTTTCGGGAAAGATATTCTCGAGATCTTTCCGGAACAGAGTAGCTACCGCTCGGTTGCTGCGTCTCGGTTACTATTGCTTCATAACTTTTTTCCCCCGTTTTTCTCTTTGAATGTCTGTCACCGTTTGCACCGGGAGCGCAATAAAATTTCGTTTGTCTCAAGTTCCCCGTGGAGCTTGATTACACGGTTGTCGGCGGAAGGTTCATTGTCAGTTACGTAAAGCGACTCGTGTTGATCACGAGAGTAGAAAGTGTTGTCGGGCTTTCTGCATATGCACATACGTTCGCATCAACCGATCACCACCGCAAGAACGTAATGCGCTGCTCTGTTATCGCGAAAGTGATCAATTTTGTGCGATAATCTGCAAGTATTGATATTACGCAAATTAACTTGTGGAAATTTTAAGAGACTGTAATCTAAACGGTGTTAAAATAAAGCGTACTGCATACTTTCGACTCATAGACGATAATAATTTCTCCACCTCGTTCTAAGACGATGTGACTTCTCAGCGAAAGTTAAAGTTAAGTTAAATCGTCAGACGTCGTAATTCAATTTCCATCTATATTCGTGATATATTGCATAGACAGAAAGAGCTATAAAGTCACTGTAGAATTGTTTTGAGCAGTAAAGTTATTACTGCATTTTGGCGATGGAATTCTCAACCATGGCGTAACGGCGTCCGACTGATTGATGGGTAATCTGGCTTTAAGAATAATGACTCGTTGTGGTGTGTTATGACAGCCGCAAGATCAAAATATCGAAAGAGATTGCCTAATGCAAGTCCTTTTTCCGCGTAGCATTTGGAAATAATCTCCGCAACAATGAGACACGAAATTGCCGATGCAACTTTTTATTGCTTGTCGCGCGGTAACTTTATAATTGCCCAAGTTTCGTTTATTCCCGTCGTATATTTCGCGATTGCGTTGCTTAACACAATTATTTCCGTCGTCTCGTAAAACGGTCGTTTCGACTTTTTCTGACTTAACGCACATTTTAAAACTTTTCCCTGCTCGACAGACACGCGTGATGTGCGACTGCAAAGTTGCATTTGATCGTTCTGAAAATAAATCACGCTCCAAAAATTTTCTCATATGTGTATAATTATGCAGTTTCTTTAAACATCCCATTTCTTGGGTATCCAAGGGATAAACAAGTCATTAATAGAGTCAAGGATAAAAAAATTGCTTCCGACAATTAGCATCGCTTTCTAAGTATAATTGCAGACGTGCAACTCTCGGCTCGTTTAAAAACCACTGTTACATACCTTGGATCGCGGTGGCGCGAAGATGCTCCCGCCCGTGCCGGGTGCCGTGTGTCGCGCTGCTGCGATTGCAGTTTCGCAAATTTTGCCACGATGAGAAATAGGACGGCATGGCCAATTGGCCATTGATGTGTCCGTTGTTATTACTGCGGATATCGATAACGCGAACGCAGCTCGTGACCGGAAATCATGATAAATCCGCGTACCGCGAATGTGACTTTGCAGCCCGTGAGCTGTGCTGCAGCTGCATGCTTTCATCGGGTCGGCTACTTCAGCTTCCCAAGCCTTTCTCACTTTCTAAATCGCGGACGGACGGTCCCGATAATGATATCGTAGACCATGGCGACGTTATTAGTTAATCTTGTGTAGTGATTGATTATGTCGCTTATGTAAAATAATTCGTAGATGTACCTCTCATATTCTTTTAATTAATAATTACGGTACAATCTTTTAATTAAATTTCGTTATACGATATTAATATACATATACAGTTTGAATTGAAATACACAATAATATCTTACAATACAGATATGCATTGAATTGCGGATTTTCATATGGCAGAAGAAATTTGCATGAAATATCGGAAATGCTTATTTGACCAAGATTATCGGAATATTGAACAGTATATAATAAATATTTTATATGCATTTCTCTCTCTCTCTCTCTCTATATATATTTATGTTATGGCCCATTCTGTGCTTAAATTATATATAAACACGTGATACATCTATATATTTTTATTTTTATCTAAAGCAAAAGGAATTTATTTATAGCCCTAGAGAAAATATCAAATAGTATAAGTAAATTATTGGAAAATTTATTATAACAGTATAAAAACAAAAAGAATAGACAATGCGCATATACAGAGGAAACAAAATAACATTTTTGAATGGTACGGAAAATTTTCTTTCAAACAAATTTTGTCTTATGCAAACAATTGCATTCTCTTTCTATCTTTCTTTCTCACCTTCTCTTTGTTTTAAACTCATAAGAAGTTTCGTTCTAAATTTATATTAATACTTCAAGACAATTTGTTTGCACGACTTCATTGTTGATTCTCTTCCGAATCTCTTAGCGACCAAATTTCATTTCCGTAATGCTGTATTTGCAGGAAACGTACAGGGTAAAGATTCAAGAGTAGTTGTGTGTAAAGTGTCAGGAAGTTTACTAAATCAACGCTGCAAACTAGGTCATAGCGTTTTGATCGATTATGATATTATAAGAGTTTTATAAAACGATGACGTCTAAAATGATGCAATCTTTGGTAATTCATCGATAATCATAGTAATTATGTGCATTTAATATAAATATTTCTACTTCAGTCCTACGTCCTACTTCAAGAATATATTTCTATAGTAATTAATTACGATTTTTGTTTAAAAATCAGATTTTGTTACTCATAATTTTTTTTTAACTCAATTATTACTTATATTTCATAATTATGTTTTTTATATTGCTTCTTTCTTTCTTTCTTTTTCTGCGCAATCACTTTTAAAAAGTAATAATTCATCATTTTTGTCAAAATTTTTATAAAAAAATAGAAATATAAGATATATAAATATAATATATATAAGAAATATAATATATATAAAGGTATGAAGAACCTAAATTATTTTCCAAGAATTTTCCAAAGAATTGTTAAATAAGATTTATAAAATACGTACTGCTATTATATCTTTTAATCATGGAAATTAATCAATATAAAAATGTTCCAATCTCGGGGAATCTTGAAAGGGTTCCGACTAGATTTTAATCAACCAGTTACTTACTTTTTGCCGCCCAGAGTTTTCCGTCTCTCAGTGCACTGAGAAACCTTTCCATGTCTCTTCGACATTCGTCTTGAAGTTTTCCGGGCACTCTGGCCCACCTGAGAGGATCGTAAAGATCAGCGAGCCATTGTATACTGTTAGCCGTCTTTTCGAGTTTTTCCTTCATAAAATCGACATCGAGATCTCGGTGCTCTTCTTCGTTTCCGTCAAACATCTTCAAGTAATTCTTCCAGTCCAACTCCGGATTATTTTTGCTGAAAGCAATTAAAGGCGACTGTTTGCCTGATTCATTCTTTTTCGTTGTGTATTCCGTTACATTAAAGTTTGTCGTTTTAGTCTCGTTCGAAGCAACCTTCTGTGGTCTGCTTAACTTAAGGATGTTTGATTCTCTTTCCGCGATCACTTTATAAGTAATGCATACGATCACGAAAAGGTAACTCAACGAACGTGCCATACTTCCTCTGTTTATTTTTAAAGAATCCACCTTGCAGAATTCACTCGCGCTTTGGGAAATGATCGACTAGATTTTTTTTATTTATAAACGGAAAAGATCGAGTTCACCGATTTCCGTCGTTAAGATCTCCAGATCCCGTCATCTTAGCTTTCGATGCAATTCCTCTTAGGAAGTCGTTGTAATGCCGTTGTAATGAGTGCTTACTCGATTGGATTCTCGAGCATGCCTGAAGAGATACGTGATTGCAGGAAATGTCGATTCAGTGTTCAGAATTTGGAGAATTACGCTTAATTGTGGTACTGATTTTGGCGAACAAACATCCGCGAATTTGCTACGGACTGCAATGATTTAGATATATCAAGTTTAGCGCTGCATTGATTGTCATAATCAATAATGCTCACAATAACAATATAGTTATGATAGTTGTATTATTTGTATGAAATACTCATAAATGTTTAATTAATAGGCAACATGCAATAAAAAGAGACCATTATTTAAATTTAAAATATTTCCATGAAACTAATTTTTATATGAAACTTTCTTAGTTTTCACTTTCGTTAAATTTTGATGTCAAAATATATTTATTAATTGCGATTTTTTTTTCAATTTCACTGATAAAGGTTTCGAAAAGAGATAACGTAAATTGTACGAAGAAAATCTATTCGACATTCAGCACTTTGCGATATGCTCACGTTTTTTCACTGATTAACGAACACATGGAGAAATATTACAAGAGATTCCTCCAATGAGAAAGGTGCCCGCACATATGACAGACTAAGGATCACGCACTGAATGAAGTGAATAAAGTCTGCAGCAACGTTCACCCGCGGATAGTAGGTTCCCCTTTCTCTTACGACGATGCACTTTACCGCTGTAAACGCATTTCCTTCTCCAGGTTGCAAAGAAATGTCGTGGCTTAGCCGGTTTTTCCACTTGCTTGTGGTGGAACTCGTGGAAGACGTGTCTGATTGAGTAGCTAATATTAATAAAATGTTGAAAAAATTGAATATTATTATTATTATTGTTCCGCTGTTAATACATATTTACTATTAATTCTTATTAAGTATTATGTTAATATTAATAATATAATAAGATTTTTGAATATTAATTATTATTTTGTTATTAATATTTATCATTTTACATTTTGTTACAAAATACTTTGATGTAAATCATTCTTTAATGAAATTTATAACGAAAGCAACATTTTATACTCGTAACATCATCATAATCTCTCGGAAGAGTATACCTATATTATCGGACACGCTCCATTTCTAATTATTAATCCACTGTTCGCGATAATGACAAAAAACAGCTCTACATAATTGTAATAATGTAATGAATCATTACACACGTCAACGTAAAGAGTGCTTATATAAATAATAACAATTAAAGAGTTTGCAAAAATTTTAGTTGTTTTTTGCATCACGCGTATACGCGTATACTATATAACAGCAATTATTTATAGTGCAGGCATCATAGATAGAATATAAAATATGAGAAACACCATTTGTTTCGTATTAAAAATGCATAATATAAAAATTACCTCGTTTTTACAAAAATCTAAACTTGTACCGTAAAAATACAACATTAAAAAATGTGTATTTTAAATAAATATTTTAACAAGAGACAGTAAAATACAGGTTGCTGCGAATTTGCACTGTTAAAATTGTGTAATGCTATGTAAGTAAAGACTTGAATTTATTTACACATTACATTTCATGTGTACAGTTAGTAACTAAAAGGTTACAACACTTTCTTTTGGATGGAATTCGGAATGCAGCCTACTCACAGAGCGATTGGTTTTTATTTACGGTATTTATCTATAAGTAAGGAAAAAATCGCTCGGTGAGTAGATTGCATTCTGAAAAATCTATGAAATTAAAAAAGTGTTGCAGCCTTTAATTGCTGACTGTACATATTTCGGCAAATCTTTTAGTCATCTTCAGCATTTAGTCAATGAATTTATATACTAAGATCCAATGAAAATTATGGTATTCTATGAGATATATTTTTCTCATAAGACATAGTCAATCTTTCTTTTATAGACAGTTAACTCAACCAGTTGGATGGCTGGATGATATAGGAATGACAAAGTCTTATTTGAAATATGACCGATAACAAGAAACGCTATTAATAAATACATCGATCATTCCTTAGTTAATTATATATATAAACGGAATATTATTAATTCCTATATGCGTCGAACATTAAATATAACGGTTTAAAATTATTTTACATTTTTAGCGATAAAATTATCTTGAGCGTGACAAAAAGAAGCGAACCGATATCAAATTTGATATAACAACAGCTTACTTCTCTTTGTCAAGTTAAAGATAATTTTATTGTTAAAAAATTGTAAAATAATTTTAAATTTTAATATTAATATATAATTGTGAATATATTCAAATCTTATTTATATTGTAATGCACAATTTGGTAAAAGTACAGAAAAGGGGAGCCACCCCCGATGACCTTGACCTTGACAACATATGTCATGATACGTTAATTTTGAAACTTTTTTTGTTAATAACTTTTTAACGGATAGTGACCGCCGTCTAAAACCTGCGGGAGGTTACTCAGGGTCATGACCTTGACAACATATGTCAAGGTCAAGATCATCGGGGAGGGGGGCTCCCCTTTTCTAGATATTTACCAAAATTTTTAAATTTATATAGTGCTAAAAAAGTACATTTTATTAAATGTATATTTTGAACAGGTATTTTAAAATGCAAGAAAAAAATGTACGCAAATAATTATTTCAAAACTGAATTTTGATTAGAGTAATTTAGCCCAGTAAAATGGGAGGAAATTTATCGATTTGGTAGAAATAATGGTTACAGGTCTGCAAATTTGGGAACAGGCTTATTTTGTGCTCCCTTTGAAGTGTTCAAAAGTCCTCACCCCTACCCCCCCTCTGAGAGAAATGGGGGGAGAAAAAGTGGTCCAAAAAATTAGTTTTTCGAAAATAACTCAAAAAGTATCAATTTTATCAAAAACAAAAACGTTAAGAAAGTTGTAGCTGACAAAATTCCGCACATTTTTTTTTTTTATTTGCCTCTCTACGACCAATAGGAGCCGAGATATATTTTTTTTAAACTTCGCCTTTTTTGAGGCAAAACGATTACGCGTACGCGCGCCGCGCGTTTATCGCTTACATCTCGAGAATGGTCATTCGTATCGAAAAATGCTTCAAATAAAAGTTGTAGTGGATTTAATTACGAACAATTTCCTTTTTTAAACATTTCCGTACGATTAATATTGACAGAGATATGATCATTTAAACATTTTTATAAGACACAATCGGTGTACGTTTAGCATAATAAAATCAATAATAAGTCGAAAACTGTAGAGTGTACGCACTTAGTGTATATAATGAAAGTTGTAGAGAATCAAATTTTGAATCAAAATGTACATATACAATATCGTTCTGGTAATCAGTATAAGATGATGCGGGAAGAAATCATGAAAAATTGCCATTGTCAAGCGTTTCTTTGCAAATAAGTATGTTTTGACTGCATTTAGACAGTAATGCGCCTAATGATTTTTTGAAGAGAATTAATTTATCTAAAAAATGAGCACCGGCTGAACTTCCTACGGTGAATAGTTCGCGAGTTACAGCTGTTTGAAGGTGTAACTGAAAATTGACATTTTATTAACAATTCCGATTTTCGCTTAAAAATTGCGGTTAAAATTTTTTTAAAAATCGGTTTTATCCTATTTCCAGTACTTTATATATATATACAAAGGTAAAACAATACCATAAATCGTTCACAAGGTGCAGTTTGTTGTAAAAATACATCATTGAAAACTGTAAATTTTAAGAAAATTTGAGTCGAAATTATTTATCTATTCCGTATTTCTTAATATCTTCGTTTCTGTTCATTTTACGACAAAATTTGATAGAATTAATTTATAGGGAATTTTATAAGCTTTCAATTAGTTTCTATCAAATTTTGTCGTAAAATGAACAGAAACGAAGATATTTAAGAAATACGGAATAGATAAATAATTTCGACTCAAATTTTCTTAAAATTTACAGTTTTCAATGATGTATTTTTACAACAAACTGCACCTTGTGAACGATTTATGGTATTGTATTACCTTTGTATATATATAAAGTACTGGAAATAGGATAAAACCGATTTTTAAAAAAATTTTAACCGCAATTTTTAAGCGAAAATCCGAATTGTTAATAAAATGTCAATTTTCAGTTACACCTTCAAACAGCTGTAACTCGCGAACTATTCACCGTAGGAAGTTCAGCCGGTGCTCATTTTTTAGATAAATTAATTCTCTTCAAAAAATCATTAGGCGCATTACTGTCTAAATGCAGTCAAAACATACTTATTTGCAAAGAAACGCTTGACAATGGCAATTTTTCATGATTTCTTCCCGCATCATCTTATACTGATTACCAGAACGATATTGTATATGTACATTTTGATTCAAAATTTGATTCTCTACAACTTTCATTATATACACTAAGTGCGTACACTCTACAGTTTTCGACTTATTATTGATTTTATTATGCTAAACGTACAGCGATTGTGTCTTATAAAAATGTTTAAATGATCATATTCTCTGTCAATATTAATCATACGGAAATGTTTAAAAAAGGAAATTGTTCGTAATTAAATCCACTACAACTTTTATTTGAAGCATTTTTCGATACGAATGACCATTCTCGAGATGTAAGTGATAAACGCGCGGCGCGCGTACGCGTAATCGTTTTGCCTCAAAAAAGGCGAAATTAAAAAAAAATATATCTCGGCTCCTATTGGTCGTAGAGAGGCAAATAAAAAAAGAAAATGTGCAGAATTTTGTCAGCTACAACTTTCTTAACGTTTTTGTTTTTGATAAAATTGATACTTTTTGAGTTATTTTCGAAAAACTAATTTTTTGGACCACTTTTTCTCCCCCCCATTTCTCTCAGAGGGGGGGTAGGGGTGAGGACTTTTGAACACTTCAAAAGGAGCACAAAATAAGCCTGTTCCCAAATTT